CAGCCGTGGGGACGGCAGAGCAAGGACAGTTTTGAACTTCATGTTCTTGCAGGAAAGAATTAATGAACTTCTATATTTATCTTTTAGAAGTGACTTCAATTACAGCTGCCTTGACAGTCTTTTTGTTGTGTTGTTGTGGCCGTTAGTAAAACACCAGAGGGATTTGGCTGTTGTGTATGTGGGCGCAAAGCTCCAGAGAGAGCCAAATTGGACTTTGTAATCTCAAGGCTTTTAGGCAGGAGGAGGATTATGAAGCAGCTGGCAAGAATCAAATATTCATTAGTTTAGTTTGTAGCAACATTCAAATGTTTAGATGGTTTCTCATCTAGGGTAGCTCAAGCTTTGCTCCAGAGACATGTTAATTGTGCAGATTATATTGGGCTGGGAGGACTAGCATGAATTGTTGGGAAATTAGTTGTTTCTGAGATGTTTCTTCATTCTCATGTGAAATGCATAGTAGAGTCTAATCTACCATATCCAAAGTATAGGGGAAAAGGTAGGGGTAATATTTTACAGAAATTAAAATCCATATCCTTGAGTATGTCTTTTGAAAAGAAACTGTTCTCAAACAATGGGACCACCTGCACATCTCTCCATCTAAGCACAGCCATTTTAGCTCAGTGTACTAATCTCCCAGGTCATTGTCCCTTTCTCTGACATGACACCTCAGGCTTTTTCTTCTTGGTTCTCAAAACTTATTAATGTAGTCTGGCAAGATATAGTATATTGCACTCGTTTCAAGTAAAACATTGAGCGTCATAGGTTGACAGTGCCAATCCCCTCTTCCATGAACCCACAGCCTTCAACTTGAATACACATGAAAATTCTGTAGGAAGCTTGTTGAAAATGCACATGCCTGGGTGAGACACCCAGTGGTGCTGGCTCACCATGCCAGATCCAAGGATGGGAAACACATTTTAAACAGCTCCACAGGCTGCCCTGAATGACCTGCCCAAAGTGAAGGATGAGCCACACTCTGGGGATAATGTGGGATTTTCTGACAGCGCAAAGGTTGGTTGTACATCCCCCAAACATTTTGCACAATTTATGCAGTATTGAATTAATGGCATTCTTTGTGACATCAAATCAAACAGATCTGGTTTTCCTGTGAGGGAAATGGCATTTTCCTTTCCTCTGTCTGCTGGAGCTCACTGCTGGAAGAGGGAACAAACCCACTGTTCTAGAAGGTTTAACTTCACTGTCAACAGCCTGAGGGACGGCATCTATTTTCAGTATTCATGCTGTATTAGGAAAGAATGTGAAACTAATCAGCGCAAATCAAAGCTTCTACCCTGAAGTGTTTCTCTTTGTGCCAAATCCACTGATAACTCTCCCAGGCCACTGATTAAAAGGCCGGGCCCACCCTCTTCCTGGTCTTGTTTAGTCTTATTGACTGCAATTAACCTTTGCAAGGAGTCACTGAGAAATGACAGTCTTCTAACTTCTCTAAAGTCCTATTGCTCCTTCCAAGAAATATGTAAGTAAGCCATCACAGGAGAATGAGAGAGAGAGAGAGAGAGAGAGAGAGAGAGAGAGAGAGAGAGAGAGACAGAGAGACAGAGAGAAACAGAGATAGACAGAGTGAGAGACAGACAGAGACAGAAACAGAGAGACAGAGAGAGACAGAGAGGGAAACAGAGACACACACACAGAGAGAGAGAGAGTCAGAGAAACTACTTTTGGTTCCTTAGACCCTATCTCCGCATGACAGCAGTTCTGCAGCCTTTGATGCACCCATGCTGTTGAAATTAAAAAACCAGCATCTCTCTGTGAATTAAATAAAACTGAACTCTTGGCTTGAGCACACACCATCTCTTCTTTTCACCTCAGATTTTGCTCATCCTAATGGGAATTGCTTTCCTTCCTGCAGTGAGTACTAGATTCACAGTGTCAGAGTAAAACTCCATGTTCTGCGGGGGCTCCCAGGAACCGCGTGCGTGCCAGGGAAAGAACAAAACCAGCTAATGAGGCAGGTTTTATTTATATCAGTAAATAGTCGCCATGCAGATGAGTTTTCTGTACATAAGCAAAGATGATTTATTAGGAAATTTCCTTCGCCATTTTCCGAAGTAAATGATTGTGTTTAATTTTCTCATCAAGAAAATGAAGGGATTGGACAAGATTAAGGACCAGCAGACTTTTTCTCAAGTATGTCAGGACTTACAGGCCATGTGGTTGCTTTCACAGTTCCTAAGTATTACAGTTGAGACACAAAATTAGCTATAGACAATAAACAAATAAGTGGGTATCACTCTGGGGTGCTGCTGTTTACAACACAAAATTCACTATAGACAATAAATAGATAAATGAATGGGTGTCACTCTGGTCTGATAGTTCTTTTTACCAAACTTAGGGCGTATTTATCTTAGAGGATATAGCCTGCCTTTTCCCAGAAGGCAAAGATTTTTTTCAGTGCCTCCAATTTGTCATTTTATTCAAGCAAATTAAAATCCAACTGTCCCTTGGTTACACTTTGGTCAAGTTCTCTAATGCAGGCCCATTTCCAAGTCTGCCTATGAAAGGCCGCTGAAATTAGAAGTAATAGTAACATTAACCGAAAAGGCTGTGCTGTGAGTTTGACAGATGTCTTTTAAAATAATCACATGGGTATGAGGATGAGGGGCACTGTGCATAGTCGTGCATGCAGAGGTCACAAGAGGGTATTGCAGCCTCTAGAGTTACAGTTGCTTCTGAGTTTCCCGATGTGGGTGTTAGGAACTGAACTTGGGTCCTCCAGAAGAGTAGCAAGTGCTCTTAGCTACTAATCCAGCTCTCTATTCCCTTGATAAATCTCTCAATTTTTTTAAAAATTATAAGTGTGTGTGTGTGTGTGTGTGTGTGTGTGTGTGTGTGTGTGTGTGTGTATGTGTGTGTAGGCAATTTTGGGGGCTTGATTGGTTCTCTTCTTCCTCTATGTGGGACCCAGGTACTTAAGCTTGGTGACAAGTGTCTTTTCCTGTTGATCCATCTTGCCAGTCCTCAATAAATGTCTTTTAAACACCACTTGAGTCTTCAAACACAAGCCTAGAAATGGTAACACTATTATAACTAACATTAATAGGTAAAAGAAAAGGAAACTCTGAGAAATGAAGTATATGACTATAGTAAGTGGCTGTTTTATTCTTATCTATTTACTGTAATAAAATACCATATACGGAGTGATTTATAAACAACAAAAATCCACTCATCACATTTTTAGAGAGGGAGAAGCCCGAGGTCAAGGTTCCAATAGATGTAGTGTCTAATTGGGACTTCCTGCTTCACAGAAGGTACTTTGTGGCAGTGTCTTCCTATGCCAGAGTAGGCAAGGAGCTCCTCCCAAATCTCTTTTCTAAGGGAAACACTCATTCATGGGGATAGGGGTCTCGTGACCTACTCATCTCCTGACAACTCTACTATTTAATATTATCACCTTGGAGGTAGGTTTTGAATGTGTGAATTTTGAGGAGCATAAACATTTGGATCACCATGGTGATGCCTGAGTTAAGTCCAGGAGCTTCAAGAGATCTCCTCCTCCTCTTTTTCCTCCTCCCTCTCCTCCCCTTCCTCTCCCTCCTTTCCCTCCTCCTTCCTCTCCTTTTCCTCCCCCACCTCCTCCCCTTCCTCCTCTTCCCTCCCCTTCTCCCTCCTTCTCCTTTGTTTGAGTCAGGGTCTCTCTCTATAGCTCCCAATGTTCTGGAACTCACCCCGTAGACTGGGCTGGTCTCAAACTCAGACCTGCCTTTCTGCCTTCCCAGTGCAGGGATTAAAGGCATGCACCGCCATGCCTGGCTTAGAGTCCAATTTACAAACACTGTGCTCTCTACAGACTTCTGTGATGGCGGAACAGTGTTGCCCACCAACCAGGTGGTACGAACGCTAACCACTGACTGAGGAATGACTGTGGAATAAGAATGGGGGTGGAGGGTGGGTGGGGCGTGGGGCAAGGAAGACAAGAAAAATCCATTGAATTTGCAAGATAAACAGTGTCTCAGAACTCTCGGGGTGGTGGCTGGATCCAGATGTGAGAGCACAAACAGAAGAGAGAACAAGGTCAATACAGAAGTGTCACTTTAGAAAACTGGCCGAGCTAGTGAAGACAAATGGTCTGGTTTCGTTCCAACCTTCGTATTATCTCTGTGTGGAGGGGGAAAACTCCCTCAAAAATTGAAGAGACAAGGATCCTTTCATCGGTGGACCACCACGGGGCAAAGGTTTCTTTTGTGGGTGCAGTCCATACTCTTGGTGTTAGCAGGTGACAGGACAGGCACTCGGGTGACTCTCCTGGTGGCTGGAAGCAATGTTTCAAGGCGCTCTTTATCCTCTGATTTTCAAATATCAGCTTCTTGGGAGTCAGTTCACTGTGTTGTCCACCGCCATGGTTTCCGCTCATTCGGAAAACATATGGAGTTACTGAGTTAGCAGGCAGAACCTTGTTGAGTTTTGCTTTTTTATAAAGCAGGAGAAATGGATTGGTAACGGTACAGCTCAAAGCTATTTCTACAGCTGAAGGGAAATATGTTTAAGATCTAGAAAAAGAGTAAAAAATGAACTATGTTCACGTCAATCCCTAATTTAGAAAGTTCTAGTGGCCACGTTCTGAGTTCCGTGTTTCACATGGGGGATGGATGGGAGCTCTGTTTATCTGAAAGAGAACCTAAAAGCCCGCCTCTTGGCTGCTTATTTATTTATTTCCTTTTTCTTTTTCTTTTTGTTAACTTGACACAAATTGGAGTCCCTTGGAAAGAGGGAACTCAATTGCGTAATTGCCCTCAGAAGATTGGCCTCCGCTCAGACCTGTGGGGGCGTTTTCCTGATTAATGATTGATGTCAGAGGGTCCAGCCAACTATGGGCAGTCCCACCCCTAGGTAGGTGACTTTGCATTGTATGAAAAAGCAAGCTGTGCAAGTCATGGAAAGCTAGCCAGTAAGTAGCATTCCTTGGTGTTTTCTGCTCCTGGTTCCTGCTTCCTTAACACTTTCCTGGCTTCTCTGCATGATGAACTGCCACTTGTAAGTCAAATTAACACTTTTCTCCCCAGTTTGCTTTTGATCATGGTATTTTTATCCTAGTAACAAAAAAGCGAACTAAGACACCTTCTTTTGTAAAAGAAATCTCTGTATTTAACAAGTGTTTCAAAGCCTATATCTTATTGTCTATAATGATTCATTATGCAGAACTTAAATGCAGTGTTCTTAAAGTATCACACTACCCATTAAGATGAAATGTCGGAGGATCTCAAGTGACGCAGTACAGAGCTTCAAGGAGAGGTGAAAAGCGTCTGGGGCATTTCTCGGTGGTTAAAGTTGCATTGTGGAATACAGGAAACAGTGAAAAATCTGAATTAGCCTAATACAGTGAATAATAGCCACCACCAGTACTCAGTCCCAAATGGTAAATAACCATGCCACAGGGTCAGCCTTCAATGCAGAGCAAACACTTTGCCAGTGCTTATGAAATAACATGATATAATTCTCCACATCAAAAATGTGCTTTTTTCATTTTGATAACAATCATTTGTAACTTGCTGAAAGAATTACTGTTTGGGATGAAGTATTTGAATGATTTGTTTTCTCTTGTATAATTGAGGCTCAGCTATAAGCATAATGAATGTAATTTGGGAGCATAACAAACACACTGGTGGGCATATAAGACCTTTGCATTTCAAGAGATACAATACTTTGTATGTATCTTTTCTTTTACATGTATCTCTCTTAATTGATCCTTAAAAGGGAACCTTAAACATTTAAATAACATTTTTAGTAATTCACAATTAGCTTCTTCTTAGGAGAGTGGGAATGTGGTTGTTGACTTCTCCTTTGGAACCCTTTATCTATACAGTATTTATTTGGTTCTAAGCCCAAAGAACTTTTTACTAGTTCTGTTCTTATTCAGGGCCAATAATTATTTTCTTTTAGGGATGCAGGATTGATGTTGCCCAATTTGATGCCCTTGATTTTCAGCGTGGGTGGAAGACTCTTTGCTCTAGGAAATGCTGGCTTGGAGTGTGCTTGACCTCACCTCACTCCACACAAAGCAGACACTAGCAAGAGATGATTTTTGAACTAGTATTCTTTGAATAGGATGACTTTTGTCTTTGGCTTCAGTTTTTCTCATTAAAGGGAGTGGGGCAAACCCATGACATGACAGAGCATTTTAGACAAGACACTACTTAGTAATTATGCGGCAGTATTAGCTCACTGTGCTTGAAGATATAGGGATTATCTCTGGGAGTGAGCAAGTCATCCCGTGTTTACTCAGGTGCTTATTATTTCTAGGATGCTGTGGAAAGGAACAAAACAAGCTCTGAAATGCACAGCTAGGCCTGTCTTCAGCTCTAGGAAATGAGTATCTCTGTTCGATTGTTCTCATTTTTTAGGGTAAAGTTTACTTTTAGGTGAACTGTTTATTATTCTTTTGAGTAGTCGGCATGAAAACTTATAAAATATAAATATACTAGACTTATAATTGCTACTTGATACCAATTTTCCGTAGAGTTTCACTTGTACTAAATGTATAAAATTGGTAATTATATGCATGAGTATTGAATTAATTAAAAAAACTGATTACTGAGTAAGTCTTATTTATTTTGAAAAACAGGAATTCATTCCACGTGTTTAAATATATTGATACGTGGATCTTCTCAGCATGTTGCTAGGATATTTTAGACAAAATAATAATGCTACTTGCCTGAGAAATCTTATTTTTAATGTGGGAGTAATCACGCATATGATTACAAGAAGAAACAAAGTAATTAGAATCATCTTGCTTTGAACAAAACTTCCCATAATCCCAACCAAAAGATGAATCCAAACTATAAATCATAGGGTCAAGTATTTTTAAAGACTTATTTATTTTTATTTTATGTGTAAAAGTGTTTTGCTTGCTTATATGGAAGAGCATGATGTGAGTGCCTGATGCCTGCAAAGGCCAGATGAGGGCGATGGATCCCTCAGAACTGGCATTATGGGCAGTTCGACGTGAGTATTCCTAAAAGAATGTGATGGATTTTGACATCCTCTGCCCACAGAATCCCTCCCCTCTCTCATTGATTGGATTTCTGGAGCTCAGTCTGGCACCCGGTTGTGGATCTCTGCATCTGCTTCCATCAGCCACTGGATGAAGGCTCTATGATGGCGGTTAGGGTGTTCACTAGTCCGGTCACCAGAGTAGACCAGTCCAGGCACCCTCTCGACCATTGCCAGTAGTCCAAGGTGGGGTCATCCTTGTGGATTCCTGAGAACTTCCCCGGCGCCCTGCCTCTTCCTATTCCCATTATGTCTTCATTTATCATGCTATCCCTTTCCTTGCTCTCCCACTCTGTCCCTGTTCTAGCTCTAACCTCCCATTTCTTTATGTCATGATGGGAAAACATGCAGAGATGACCAGCCACATTAGTGGAAACCCATGAACTGTGGACTAATAGCTGTGGAGCCTCCATAGGACTAGACTAGGCCCTCTGGATATGGGAGACAGTTGTTTAGCTTGAACTGTTTGGGGGGCCCCCAGGAAGGGGGATCGGAATCCATTCCTGGTGCATAGGTGGGCTTTTTGGAGCCCAGTGCCTAGGGTGTGACACCTTGCACAGCCTTGGTGCAGGGGGGAGGGGCTTGGACTTGCCTCATCTGAGTGTGCCAGGCTCTGCTGACTCCCCATGGTAGACCTTGACTTGGGAAATGTGGGGATCGGGGGGTAGGTTGGGGGAAAGGCTGGGGGAGGTGGAAAGAGGGAAGAGGGGGGAATCTGTGGTTGGTATGTAAAGTGAATAGAAAATTTCTTAATAATAAAAAAAGAAAGTTAAAAGATAAAGAATATGATGGAGACACGCAGAAGAAAGATCCCAGGAAAACACGGAGAAGATGGCAATCTACCAGCCAAGAGAAACCCAAGGAGAAGAAACCAATCTTACCAACACAGAGACCTCAGACTTCTAACCTCTGGGGTTATGAGAAAACACATTTCCATAGTGTAAACTACTCAGCCTGTCATGATGTCTTCTGGTATAACGCTGGTTAGTTGGAACATTAACAGGTGTCACTATAGAAATGCCAAGACCAATCTCCTGTCTGCTAAGGGCTTGATGAGTTCCAGGCTCTGATAGGGGAAGCTTCACAGGAGTCAGTGTCATCCTCATCTTGTGTTAAACTTGGCTCCTTGTCAGGTAGATAGAAGGGGAGTGTTAGAATGGATGCTGAGCATTTGATGTGCCTCATCCGACGAACTCTGAATCTACTCCTGTGATCCACTGTTGAGTAAGAAACAGAAACACATTGTGTGTGCACACACGTGCACTTATGCATAGACGGTGTGAGGGGTACGCATGTATTGAGTAGGTGTTAGAATGTGGTGTTGGGTAACAGCTTCTGGAACCAGGCCTGACAGCTCCACACTGCTGTTTGATTTTGGATGCTATTCAGCTTCTCAGGGACAGTGACAGTTCCTACCTTCTTAGTATGCCCACAAGGATTAATGGGTTACAACATTTAGAATGGTATTTGTCATGTAGTGTTAGGAGAGGGCTACATCTCTACTTTATAGCTTTCTGTGAAAGTGAATTAAGTGAGACAATGGATTTGGTGTTTTTTTTCATTGTTTTTTGTTCAGAAACAGGGTCTCACTCTGCAGCTCAGGTTGGCCTTGTACTCAGGCAGTCTTCCTAACTGAACGGAAACAACAGATTTGAAGTAACACATATAGTCCGTGGACGCTAGGCAGGCATTGAACACCTGCTGTCCGACCCCACCCCTCCATCGTTATTATTCTAAGAATCTCAATGTATGTTAAAGTCCTGCACTCAAACAAGGGATTCAAGGTATGGGAACTGCATGGCTCTAAGAAGCTGACAGGCTTTAAGGCTTATGAAAACATGGAGGGTAGAGAGGTCAGACCAGGATGTAGAGCTTCTAACTCCCGACCTTTGCTCATTTTACATCAGATATTGTCTCACTTTCACACAGAGATAAAACATGCCTTTGTCTAGCCTTTACCCCCTGCACAGGGGAAACCATGCTTCACACACTCTGGGACTTGATAGGTGAAGATCAGCAGAAGAAACTGGAAGTCAGCGAGGCGTTGGCAAAGGATCTATTATCGTTACTCATGTGAACGTGTTTTATTTTTCACAAGATTGTGGCCATCAGCCTTCTGCAAGTGAATGCAGGACTAAATCTCTACTACTTTACTGAGGACTAAATCTCTACTGGTTCCTTTCTGACTCTTTGAATGTCTTCCCTTGACCTTAGAGAGCATGCTTTTCCTTCTTGGCTGCTCTGTCCTCACCAATTCCAGCTTCCCCTCATCAACAGAGGGGGATGTGCACCAGACTCCCTCTGCTCTCTGAATCCAGGATTGACATACCCACCTCAGCAGTGTTTTTTCCACACAGTGGTGGATTGGTTTTGAATTTCTCTCTGGCTCGCACAATTTGGTTATTGAGATAACTTCCATTCGAATCTCTGAGTGGCCCTCACACACTGCATATGAACAATGGGGAGGATACTGAAAAGATTTAAGATTTTTAGGTCATGCACATGGATGGAGACCACACAAGTTTCAACCTCTTTTCAGGGACTGTAAATTCCAACTGGGCTGAGACTAACTGCTTAAGAAAAGCCTGAACTTTTTGCAGGAGACCAGATGGTGGCAGCATTGAACGCCCAGGGAAAGCCAGGACCAACGGCAGCTTCAGAACACGAAACTACTAATTATTCATGAGAACACCAGGGAAACTGGTTAAGAACATGCAGTTTCGTTCCAGAAATACTTGTTTTTGGCTTTGTTTCCACACTCACTGGCAGTGTGAACTCGGGCAAGCCAATTAATTTCTCTAAACCTCATTTCCTCATCTATAAAATGAGGGTGGCAATAATTACAGGAGTGTTTTAGGATGAAGTGAGATCATGTATGTTGATATACTTAGCCCATGTCCAGGGAACAAGTAGTATAAGGACAGACTGGCAGACAGACAGACAGATAAATTAGTATGCTGGATAGTTTTATGTCATCTTGACAC